CTACTTATGCTAGACTGCCAATGCTGTGACCTGGATCACCTGCTATGAAATAGGTGGTCACAGTTGGAGACAGTTACCTTTTGTTTTATTCCTGAAACCAGAATCAAAATCTCCATTCAGTAGGTTAGGCTTATTTCCATTCTAAAAGCAGATGGTTGGAGAGAACAGCCCAAATAAAGGCAAAAAAGAAAGGGAGATCTGAATTTGGGACTCACCCTTTTGAACCCTGTGAAACCTCTGGAGTCTGAGGAACACAGTGCATTCATGCTGAGCCCAAGAGGGAAGGCAGCATGTTCAGGGTTGAGAGGCCCCTCTGAATCCTGCTGACTGTAACAGATATGTCTACCTAAAAGAAGAAACCTAGGTAAAATTAATATAAGTAGAGGGTCTATTTGGGCCAAATTTGAAGACTGTAACCTAGGAAACACCTCCAACTCACTTTAGAGAATAAAGAACCTGCTTGAGCTTTTAAGGAAAAAGGACAAACCAGGGGAGGGGATGATTACAAAAAAGTTTTCATCAGGAATTCTCATTGCTTTACAAAAATAACACTGATGAGTAACCTTTATATATTATTTAGCTGTAGAGTATGACTTATGGTTTCAACATACGGCATTGTTACATTAATTTGTATCAGTCAGTCTAGAGTCCACATGGCAAGCAGCCTCAAGAGATGATGACTTAACTGAAGGAGGGAAGCGGGACATGACTGCTTTCTCATGCCAGTGCCTCTCTGGGCCTGGTAATTGAAAGGAGCATCACATTCCTCAGATTAAAAAGGTTTTTGTGCAATTTATATTACAATATATATGTACCCAGAATTTATTTAATTACCTTTTGGTTTTTCCTGCTGTAATCTAAGGATAGCACTATGGTCTCTAAACCTAACACCTGCTCAGTACATAAGTGGTAACGAACTTTTCTTTTCATTTCCATCTTAGCTTTCTGGGTGCCAAAATCAGCACATCTCTCCTTTCATCCTTTTTATTTGCCTATTTTGGGATATTGCCTCTGAAAGCTATGTCTTCAGTTTTTTCTCTGGTTGATAAGAGGAAAAGAAGGAAAAGGATGAGACCTCTAGGCAGCAGCCTCTCCCTCGGATGGCCCTGAGGACAAACAATGTCCCCTGTCATCAGAGATGAATGAAAGGTGCATGGTCATGTCCACTGCTCACTCAGTCATGCCTGCACATGCAGTTGCAAGAGGAGTCCACAACTGAGTGACCTGATAATTGAAGACATTTTTTACAAAACCAATATCATCATAAACTTAATGAAATTTAAAATTTTTATACCATTAGATTTCATAAAGCTGTCAAAATAATTCTCTCACATCATCTAAAATGGAGCATACATTTGAATTTCCCCAAATTCCTCTAAAACCATTTTTCTGTGTACCAAATTTGGTTTTAATTTATCTCTAAACGTTTGATAATAT